GATTCCTTGTATTTCTTTGTTTTGTCTAATTGCTGTGGCTAGGACCTCCAGAACTATGTTGAATAAAAGTAGGGAGAGTGGGCATCCTTGTCTTGTTCCCGATCTTAAAGGAAAAGCTTTCAGATTGTTGCTGTTAAGTACAATGTTGGCTGTGGGTTTGTCATATATGGCCTTTATTATGTTGAGGTACTTGCCCTCTGTATCCATTTTGTTGAGAGTTTTTATCAGGAATGAATGTTGAATTTTGTCGAATGCTTTGTCAGCATCTATGGAGATGATCATGTGGTTTTTGTCCTTCTTTTTGTTGATGTGGTGGATGATGTTGATGGATTTTCAAATGTTGTACCATCCTTGCATCCCTGGGATGAATGCCACTTGATCATGATGGATGATCTTTTTGATGTATTTTTGAATTCGGTTTGCTAATATTTTGTTGAGTATTTTTGCATCTGTGTTCATCAGGGATATTGGTCTGTAATTTTCTTTTTTTGAGGTATCTTTGCCTGGTTTTGGTATTAGAGTGATGTTGGCCTTGTAGAATGAGTTTGGGCATATTCCCTCCTCTTCTACTTTTTGGAAAATTTTTTGAGGAGGATGAGTATTAGGTCTTCACTAAATGTTTGATAAAATTCAGCAGTGAAACCATCTGGTCCAGGAGTTTTGTTCTTAGGTAGTTTTTTATTACCAATTCAGTTTCTTTGCTTGTAATTGGTAGATTCAGATTTTCGGTTTCTTCCTGGGTCAGCCTTGGAAGGTTGTATTTTTCTAGAAAGTTGTCCATTTCTTCTATGTTATCCAGTTTGTTAGCATATAATATTTCATAGTATTCTCTCATAATTCTTTGGATTTCTGTGGTGTGCCTAGTGTTTTTTTATCGGGTTTTCTTCCTGTTATGTTTTAGAGTCCCTTTTATGTGTCTTTTAACATTTTAATTATTTACTTTTACTCTAAAGTCAGTAATACTAGTATCTGAAGTCCATAGATAATATACAAACAAATGGATGTGACTATTTCATCTAAACTTTATTTACAAAAATAGGAGGCTGACTTTATAATTTCTAGATCCCTGCTCTGGGTTATAAAATTAAGCAAATGCCTGGGGAACAACTACAACTTAAGTGTTAAGTTATTGCAAGTTTGGTTTCCAAATAGCCTGCCTACTCTCTGCCTTTGACCCTAGGATTTCCTGACAATAACCTTTCTATACATTTAAAAAAATATGTGTTATGTTTGAGGCAGCATTTCATGGCAGGAGGTTTTTTAGGATATTGGATCCGCCACATGCATAAAATTCACTTTTGCTATTTTTCAGAAATCCAAAGCTTGTGGTAACTGAAAAATCCATCCGGCTTGCTTGTCGTCATGCTAAGCAGAATAAAAAAAGCTTGCCATGCTTTTTACTTGGTTCTTTCACAGTAAATGAAGGTAATATACTTTTAAAAATTATTTTTATGACTATAATAGAATTTATGTTTCCTCATTCAGCCAATTATTATAATGTACTTTGTGCTAATTTTCTTTGCTGTATACCAAAGTTATATAGATGATTAAAACTTGACAGAACTCATCAATCTGGTCAGGTGGGGGACTATATATGCAAGTCATTTTTTAAAGTAAGAGTTTGGTGTACTATTAGTAAGAACAAAATGCTTTGCCAAATGTAGGCTTGCTTGGTTGATTTTACCTTTTTAATTGGCATGCTCTGTAATAACTGCTATTTTGTTCTTCAGATGAGGAAGGTATAACATTGACAGTAGATCGTTTTGATCCTGGTCGAGAAGTACCTGAGCGCTTAGAAAGAACTCCTACTGCTTCTCTTCCTGGGGACTTTGTGATTCCATGCAAAATTCATACTCAAGGACTGTGTTCAAAAGAAATAATAGTTTACAATGCAGATGACTTTAATTCAGCTTTTAAGGTGAGATTTGTTGAAAACTTGATTATTTTTAATTCAATACAAGAATCAAAACTATGTGTACTATTTTGTATTTTGATAAACCTATATTTAATAAGTATTCATAACAATTTCTGATTGAGTGATTGTTGACCTAAAATGCAATTAAATGTGGTTTCTGAGGGCAGAGATCCAAATAGATAACATGGGTAGCATTTCAAAGAGGAAGCAGTGCAACCAAGAACAGCAAAGTACAGGACGTGCCCAGTGACAGTAAGGGTGCTGTATGTGTGGGCTATCAGACTGCAGTATTAGTTTGGTCAGATTCGAGAGAGCCTTGTCTGCCAGACTGAGGAATATGGGCTTTGTCACATGGGCCAAGTAGAGTTTTTGAGAAGAGGAAATACTGTTAAGTCAGGGATAGTTAATTTAATAAGGCAGGCTGACTGAAGTCAGAGAGAGTGGTTAGGCCATTGCAGTAGTCAGGTGTGCCTTAGAGAGGGTGCGTTAGCCTGTAGTAGGGTGTTGGCAGTGAGAATAGAAAGGACACAGTGGGCATAAGCAACTGCTGAGAAAGAACTAATTTGACAATTTGGGGCAATAAGGAAAGAGAGGAATGGACTTCAGATTCTCTGAGACTGAGTCAGAGTTAATTTATGTCCATTTTTTTCCCATGAAATAAGTATTTATTAAAAGTGACATTCTCCAATAAGAATTTGAAACGAAAAAAGTGACATTCTCCAATAAGAATTTGAAATGCTGCTGAGATATCTAAGTTGGAAGTATGTGATGGAGCTTAGTACAGTAAATCTTATTTGCTTTAACATAGTCATTCATGTAAACTTGTAGTCTCATGGAAGAAATGAGTTGAAATGTTAGAATCAGAAATTGTTTAATATTATTAGTATAAGATATATATGTGAATATGCAGCAGTATGAAATTAGACCTTTGGAGATATGAACAAATTTCAAAGTTTTAAAATAATTGTATAATATTTGATTCCTCAGGTTCTGCAGCACCACGTATGTAGCAAAGATTCCTTGGATTGTGGTAAACTGCTTTTGCTGAGAGCCCATATCACTTACAGGGAGAGTTTGGACAATGTGGATTTTGATTTACACTGGGCAGCAGTAACTCTAGCAAATACCTTTAAATGCACACCTGTGAAGCCCATCCCCATTATTCCAACAGCTCTGGCGAGAAACTTGAGCAGTAACCTGAATATTTCTCAAGTTCAAGGTGCCTATAAATATGGGTAAGTAAAGGATCTATTAACCCCAAATTTTAAATATTGGTCATATTAGTATATTTTTATGGTATTGTGTAGTCAGTTTACATGCCAGAGATATGTGGTGGCAAGAAAATGAACCAGGGAAAGCAGAAAATGAAAAAGTTTTACTGGATATTGTTTTCTTTCAAAGAGTTGTGCCAACCACTCCAAGAAAAATTAATGGTAAAAATTATGTTAAAATTGACTACCAATTTTGTGATTTGAAAATTTTTGTGATTTGAAAATTTAAGGAGAAATTATTCTCTCTGTCATTTTTGTCCTTTGTATTTTGCCTAGGTTTTAGGTTGTCATCTTTCTGTCCCCCCCCCCTTTTTTTTTAACTATAATCTTTGAGCCTAACACAGGCTGGATAATTTTTATTTATAACATGCAGTTTTAATTAGGAATAATGAGCATTGCAGATAGAGAAAAGAGATAAATAAATGTTTATAGTACTCTTGCTTACCAAACTGTCAACCACTTGAGGGTGGAGTTTCCCCACATAGCTACAGCAGCATCCTCTCTAGCTTCCTATCACCACTCTTAGTTTCTTAGGAAATACAAGCCAAATTGCATGCTTTCTGATCCTCAGCAGGGCTGCTTCCCTGAATCCTTGTCCACTTTCTTTATCCATTGTCTACTGAGCTAGGTCAGATAATGTAAGCACCTCCGCTTTAAAGTCTAAGCAGTTCACTACTGGCTTCCTTTTCCACTGACTCCACCCTAGTTCCTGTTAGGTCTCTGGAGCCAAAAATATTTGCCAAAGTACACCCAACTCCCAAGTCTTAACCTCTAAAAATGCCTCTTCAAAAGAGGGTAAGAAAAGAGAAGTTTTCTTTTCAAAGTGTCCCTTGAATAGCAAGAAAGGTCCCATTTTGTGTCCCACATGCTGGCCAGAGTACCTTTCTTGTTGGAGTGGCACAAAGGAAAGCATTGGTATATTCCAAAATCATGGTATAGTCAAAGGTGATAATGATAAAAAACAATGCATTAAGTGGAACATTTAATTGTCTTGGAGAAATAAAGTGCTTCTCAACTGGGACATAGAAATTTGTATTAAAATTAACCAAAAGTTAATTTGTTTTCCCTAGTACCTATTCCTATCTATTAGGGAAGCATGAATTTGCCTTTCTTTGAGTTATCCTTCTGTGACTCTTTGGCATGGTACTAGTAACCCAGGATGTTCAATATTCTATCTAATCACTTATTCCCTTTGCCCCCTCTTACCCAAAATTATTTAATTTGTGATATTTCCTCTTTCTTTGACCACATTAATTTGTTTACCCTAATATTTATTGGGATCTATTATGGAACAAGCATTGTGTTAGACACTGGAATTAAATAGTTTAAAAACCATACTCACACTCCATGGTGTATATTAACATATAAACATGATATGGGTGAACTTAATTGGGGTTTATTTACAGTGCAGGGAAAGCAGGAAAGTGTCCAAATTGCCTGGTAAAATCATGGAAAGCCTGAGCTGGTTCTTTTAAAGAATCAGAATTTATCAGGTGGTCAGAGCAGCAGAACTTTCAAAGCAGGTGTGTCATTGCTGATTCATAAATCTGCCAACTCAGGCTTAATCATCTTGTCACATAGTCTGATAGTCATAAATTCACTATCTTCATGTTTTAGGGTTATTATAGCAATAAATCATACCCTCTATAGTAATATCATAACTTTATATCATAAATGGCATTGTTTTTATTTTTGTGTTTTAAAGTCATGACAAAATGAACTCTTGACAGTTGTATGACTAGCTGGTTATTCATATCTTAAGGCTTACTGTCAGTTAATATGATAACAAAGTATAAATGTAGTACAATGTCCTCTTAGGGAAAAGCGAGCTTTTGGGTTCTACCATGATGGTTCCAAAGTTCTTTGATAGTGGTTGTTGGAACATAGTACGTGGAAAGTTGAATATACTTCACTTAATTCAGCCTCGTTCAGTGAGAAGTTTTACCTTTTGCAGGCTTGTCAAGTTGACATTTTCAGAGAAAAACTTTTTTTAAAGGTATGTGATTTTCAATGGCCATTTAATAGACATTTGAAGATATAATAAATCTCTTCAATCTCATCTTCTTGTTTGAGTATTTTCTTACACTTTGAACTGTCTGTGTGCATGTGTGTGTAAAAGAAAATACTCCTGCCTGAAATAATGCTTCTTCAAGCACTCAGGTTATCTTTTAGGTAGAAACTACATAATTTCTACTGTTTTTACATGAATATCTTTCATTTAGGTATCTTACCATGGATGAAAAACGCAAATTGTTACTTTTGCTGGAATCTGATCCCAAGGTTTATTCTCTACCATTAGTGGGGATGTAAGTGTTGCATTATTTATAAAAACATTTTTACAACATATGTATGCAAATGTATGTGGATAGCATGTGAATCAATTGTATTGTAAATATGTAACAAATACTTAAATACCCTGATATAGCCACAATGTCCAATGAATCTTAAGCTCTCTTATTTTAATACCAGAATCAGTTGATACAAGATTTTGCCCAACTCTCAGAACTCCAGTGTGTAAAACCGATAACAATTGAAATCTTCTGGTTGAAGTTGAAGACTTAGAGCCTCCTTTCTTTAACCTTCTTCATTACTCCCTGTCCTTAAGATACCTTGAAGAACCCAGGGTTCAGAATAACATTTCAAAATTCACTGCTAGGCAATTTTGCTTAAATTCCCTTTAGTGATAATGACTTTCTCTTTAGAATTAGTGGTTAATGACATTTTAAGATTATTCAGAAAGAAATTTGTATTTATTCAGTATTTATTCAGTATTTACCCTATGCATAGTATTGTTTGGTACTCCTTTGAGATTTAAAACTCAAGAAATTTATAATCAAGGAGAGGAGATAATAGTCAAATATTCACACATAGAAAGATAAATAATAAAGAAGTACTGGTGACCTTTGGACAACATGGGTTTGAACTATGTGGTTCTCTTATATGAGGACTTTCTCAGTACATATATCGGGAAATTTTTTGAAGGTTCTCAATAATTTGGAAAAACACTTTTTTTCTGTAGCTTATTTTATTGTAAGAATACAGTATATAATACATATAATAACAAAGTGTGTGTTAATTGACTATGCTTTCAACAGGGCTTCTGGTCTGTAGGTTATTAAGTTTTTGAGGGGTCAAAAGTTATGTGTGGATTTTCAACTGTGCAGGGGGTTAGCTCCTCTAAAATTTTCATTGTTCAGGGGTCAGCTATATATGACTTACTGTGAAATGAACAATATAGACAGTACTGTCAGTATTTATAAGTGAGATGATAGGGGACATTTTTCCTGGAGAGGGCAAATGTGATATGGTCCTTTGTTTGGATAAGAGAAGGGAAGTTTGGTGGGGCAGGGAACCTATTTGAGAGAATGGTATTTGCAAAGTAAAGTGAGAATGCACAAATGTTCTGTGACTGAGATATACCTACAGTCTGTTTGCTATGGCCCTGGTATTGATGCTAAGTGAGTATCTATTAAGAGCCTTCTGTGCTTCAGACTTTATATGTTAATAGCATTTAATCCTTTCAATAACTGTAGAGTTAGGCAGCTAACTGTATTCTCCCCTAATTCAACCCATTCTTTCTAGTACAGGCTGATTGATTCTAATTGATTTCTTCTTTTTTGAACATTAAGTTTATTTGGAGAATAAAGTTCAGAGAAACACAAGAGTATACACCTGAGAGTTGGGGTGACAGCAGATCCAGAGGGGGTTGCCTAATTGATTTTTGTTTTCATGTTTATTGTTAACCATTTTCTGTCCCACCATTTTCCTATCATCTCAGGTGGAAGAGGACAGAAAGAAGCACACTCTATATATGTATATATCTATATCTTTCTTTATATTCTCCCTTTTAATAATCTGCATGGTCTAATGTTCATAGGTTTCTTATTTATGAACCCTTTGATGCATTGCTGGTGAAGGCCAAGAATCTCTGCCACATTACCTTGAGAAGAAAGTAATCTAATGTATATTAATTGATTTATAAGTGACAATAGTTTTTAATTTTAATTTTTCCTTTTAGTTGGCTATCTGGAATTATACACATCTATAGTCCTCAGGTATGGGCTTGCTGCTTACGATACATGTTCAGTTCTACCATTCAGGAAAGGCAAGTGATATTTTCTTCTTTAATATTTTATTTTGATGTTTTCCCCTGTTCATATTTAATTGGTCTCATTTAAAATTCATGCAATGCCTTAACCTTTTATAGTAGTTACAAACCAGAAGCACAAGCACACTAAGAAAAACAAACCATGTATTAAATGGGAATAAAACTAAACTAAAAGCTGAGGTTTTTAGGAGTGGGAAGTACCCCTAGAGATCATCCATTTAGCATCTTATTTTATAAAGAGATTAATTTTCAGAGGTGACTTAAAGGTATGTTTAAATTTGTTACCTTAGAAGTGTTTTATTAAATTACACAGTGCTAGTATAGTACTCTAAGATAAACATTAGAGATGAGATGTTTAATTTCTTCCTGAAACTAAAGCACAGGCATCGAAACTAATAGGAAAAACTTTATTTCTAACCTGAACTCCTGATTTAATTTTGTTAATTTTGTATGTGATACCATGATACCACTGTTTGCCTCTTAACTTCTTCATCTGTTAAATGCAAATTCCAAGGTCTGTTTTCTGCCCATGTTGGGTGGTTATAATACGTTTTTTAAAAAGTTTTATTGAAAAGGCAGTACAAGCACATGACAATAAACTAGACATACATAAAGATACATAATAAAAATAAGTTGCTCTTCCATTTCCTCAGACCCTATCCCTAGAGAATCACTGTTAAAAGGAATCCTGTGCCTTCTTCCTAAAATATCAATGGATAGACAAATATCACCCTCACTTTGCCTACAAAAATTAAATCACAAATGAGAACATACTGTTCCTTTTTTATATGTAGCTTTTTTCTCTATGTCATTATATCTGGAGATCATTACATCTTGGCATCTGTAGATTTAATATACACATCTTACAACTGGATAGTAAATAGTGTGTATGTTAAAAACTAGTCCTTTTGCTTTTGCAGACAATTTTGTATATACATCTTTGTGTGTATATACTCGTATATTTATGTATCTATATTTGTAGAATAAATTCCTAAAGGTGGTTTTTCTGGATTAAAGAGTATGTAATTTTAAATTTTGGTAGATATTGCCAAATTACCCTTCAAAGACTGACAATTTATAATCCTCCCAGTGTTTGAGAGAGTCTGTTAGACAAATATTTATTGAACACCTACTATGTACCAAGCACTGTTCATGATAGTAAACAAAGATCCTGCAGAGATAAGCAGTAAGAGAACAAATAAGTTAAATAAATAATTTATAAGGTGATGAGTGCTGTGAAGAAAAATAAGCAGGAGAGATGGATGTTGTTTCTGGATGGTAGTGGCAGGTGAAGAGTTGTAGTTTTAAATAAGATAGTCAAGGAGGCGAAGGTTTGTGGTGAGGGAGTAAGCCATGTGACTGTCCGGGGCAGTGTCCTAGGCAGAGGGTGCATTAGTACAAAGGCTGTGGGTGAAACGCCACTTTGCATCTTCAAGGAACAGCAAGGAGACCAGTGTGACTGGTGAGGAATGAGGGAAGGGAAGAGTAGTAGCAAGACCTCAGCAAGGCAACAGGAAGGCCTTTATTAAGCTTTTGATTTTTGCAGATCTGATAGATGAAAATTGACCTTTTCCAATGTTTTATAACCTCATCTGGGAACTCCTAAGAGTGTCTCTTGCCATTTTCTATTGGATTGTACATCTTTTTCACATTGCTTTGTAGACGTTCTCTCACTATTTCTCTCTATACAAATATATAATATGTAAAATATATGTATAGATATATCTATAAAAAGATGTATGTGTATATGGCAAATATTTTATGTATATATATAGATAGATATATATAGAAAATATGTACATATGTATGTATATAGCAGATTTTTTTCCCTATCTAGCTAAGGATTTGCTCACTCCAGGAGTATTTATTGAAATTTTAAAAATCTCTTTTATGTTTTTCAGATGCTTTTACAGTTTATTTCATCTTTACAAGACAATTAGTTATATTTTCAATAAAACAAACTTTATTTTAGTATGTTAGTATAAGTCAGTTTTATTATCAGTTACTGGTCTTGCTTTAACTACTTATAGACTGTAAATACTCGGTAAAATTAATTTGGAAGCTCTGTTAGTCTGTGTTCAGTCTGAAGCATCAGGCAATTTCTTTGATACCTGAGCTCTTTCCTGCCAACCCTTTGAACCAGAGAGAAATCAGCACTGCCTAGCATAGCTTAGGTTTGTACATCAACAGCATTCAGAGTAGTGGTCTTGTCAGATTCCAGAGAGAGAAATTAAGCAGAATAGATATTCTGCCTCCCCAACTTCCACTGTTTTTTTGTTTTGTTAATAGTATAATATATCCCCAAATTATTTTTCATTTAGCATTTGACAAAGTAGAGGCAACTACTAAAAGTAGTTTTAAATACAGATTTACCCTGCTAACTGAAAGTAGAATGTTCCTGTGAAATCTATCATAGGCCAAAATAGCATAAAATGAAGGAACAGATTGAAATACTACCAACCAACTTTTCAGACCACAAAGGTATAAAACTAGTAATAAATTATACAAGGAAAGCAAAAAGGCTCACAAACACATGGAGGCTTAACAACATGCTCCTAAATAAACAATTGATCAACGACCAAATTAAAATGGAGATCCAGCAATATATGGAAACAAAGGACAACAACACACAAAGCCCTAACTTCTGTGGGACGCAGCAAAAGCAGTCTTAAGAGGAAAGTATATAGCAATCCAGGAATATTTAAAGAAGGAATAACAATCCCAAATGAATAGTCTAATGTCACAATTATTGAAATTAGAAAAAGAAGAACAAATGAGGCCTAAGATCAGCAGAAAGAGGGACATAATAAAGATCAGAGAAGAAATAAACAAAATTGAGAAGAATGAAACAATAGAAAAAAATCAGTGAAACCAAGAGCTGGTTCTTGGAGAAAATAAACAAAATAGATAAGCCTCTAGCCAGACTTATTAAGAGAAAAAGAGAATCTACACACATCAACAGAATCAGAAACGGGAAAGGAAAAATCACTATGGACCCCACAGAAATACAAAGAATTAGTAGAGAATACTATGAAAACCTATATACTAACAAGCTGGAAAACCTAGGAGAAATGGACAACTTCCTAGAAAAATACAACCTTCCAAGACTGACCAAGAAAGAAACAGAAAATCTAAACAGACCAATTACCAGCAATGAAATTGAAGTGGTAATCAAAAAACT